TCAACCCCAATTTTCCGGGTCGGGTTTTCGTGTCGTGTCAAATATTGACACTATGTAAGTAGTATAATTTTTAGACTAGCCTTATGAGCTTTTTTAAAAGTGTTCCTTATCTTAAATTTAGGCTTATGTGACTACTTAGATAAAGACTATAATTTTAGCAATGAATTCTCATGACCTGGTACCATAAAGCCATACTTTAAACAATTAACTAGAGGTGGAAAGGAAAAACTTCTCATTTAGTCACCTAAACTCCTACATTCTTATATCGAATATCTAGGAAGATTAAAGATATACACACAACTCGATGGGAGAATTCTAACACTTCTGAGGCCTATTCGAGCCCATAAAAATGTCTTGAAGCCATTCAAGAACTTTTGGTACATTATGGGAACATGAGGTAAACTCACATAGATGAAAAAAAAACACTAAAGCCTTAATCTACAAATATTCAAGAAAAAAGACTTTTAAATATGACCGAAGAACATTAATGTTTATGTAAAAAGATCCTAAAACATTGATTATTTATCTAATAAAATTATTTTAAAAGTATAGTTATTACAATATTATATATGATTTAATGCTTAATTAGATCATTAAGGTCAAATTTAAAATAGAGTAATTTCACAAAGTAAATAAGTTGTTTTTTTTATTTATTTGCAAATTGTTTATTTTATATGGAAAGTGTTAATGACAAAAATGTGGGAGTCAAAACTATTAGATCTGTTCAACTGAATCGAGCATAAGGCCGTTAATGACATATCTTTAAGAGGCGAGAAAGGGATCGAGATTGAGAGAGTAAGAGAGTGAGAGAGCAAGAAACTAAGCAGGAGTGAAAGAAGTGACTAAGAAATAGGCAATCGAGCAAGCAAAAGAAGCAATTAATGATATGCACCTAGTATATATTAGTTTTGTTATTTTCTTCAACTAACTATAATTTGTTATTTATTGCTCCAAATTTTATGTAAACTCCTATTTGATAAAGTCGACATAACACTTTATACAATAAAAATAAAGGGGCTACTCATTGACATCAAATGTAGACTACTCGTTGACCATACCTAGGCTCTTTGAAGAACCTCTTAGCTATGCCTCCTTTGAGTCTCCTTTATGAAACCATCCTTGCACTATATTGAAGTGTCACTTGGAGATTTCAATCAAGTGAGACAACTTAGTAGAAATTCTCCAAATGCCCATTAATAAAAGAAAAGTTTGAAAAAATATCGAAAACTCTGACTCCAGAAAAAGCATGTGATCTGCATGAATATCGAGGCAATCATTGAATCAAAAATTTTTGATATTAAAATAATGATAATTTAAACTCCAAATTTGGCATGTTTATAGTTGAATCGTCTCAATGAGACAAATCCAATAAGCCTGAGATCATCCAATTTTGATATCATCAAAACACTTAGATGTTGAATAAATGTTTTATGATCGAGAGAGTCAATATGGGTCGTACAATGAACCGTTTTATATTCTTGTTCATATTATCAAAATGTTCTTTCCAAATGGCCTATAAATAGAGTGTCATTCTTCACATGAGGGAGGAGGAAGAATAGAGAGAGCTCTCTTTCATTTTTCAGCCATTATAAGTGATGACCACCACCAACTATTATCTCTAACAACTATTATCACCACTTATGATCAAAATTAGAATTTGCTACCATCTCCAGAATACTAACAAGATTTAACCTTGTTATTGTGTATAGTTGTCCACCCGTGAACACCTACTCTTTATTCTCTCTATTAGGGGAAATAGTCCATATTGGTTGGTGCTAACTGTCCCTCTGCGAACACTTTGTTTCTATAATCTCCCTAAAAAAAATTCAGAAGTCTATCTAATCTCCCTTTCTTCAACAATGAAAAAGAAGAATTATAGTATCACTTATTATACATTTAATTTTACAATTGGGTTAGGCCCCGTGATTTTTTTTATTTTTGGATTTTCAACATACAATTTTTTGGGGACTTACTACTTTTATCTATGTGTGATGAATTTGGTACAATGTTGAGATGTAACATACACACTCAATCGACTTAAATTTTTTAACACGTAAAACCGTTTGTGGGAAAAGATTCTTGACTGGGGGGCAACCTTTGCTACAACCTTAAAGGTTTGTTTATGTCAATATTTATGTTGAAATCTAAAAGATTGTGGTCTAACAAGTCTTTCTAATATTATTTGCTTCTATGATAACCATTATGGCAACCACATTTCATATAGTTTCCAAAAAATACGAAAAGGCTTCAAGTGAATCTCAAACTTGATATAATTTTCAGTTAGATTTTTACTCATTATGTAATGTCATAGTTTTAATATAAAAAGACAGTAATGAATTAAAGATAAAATAATATCCACCTTCAATTTGGGATACATGTGGCATTCACCTCTTTCATAGTTTCAAGCGGAAAAATCGTCGGTAAATATTGTCGGTAAGAACTTAACGTCGGGTAAACCGACGAATTAGCCGCCAAAAAAGTACCGACGGTATATTCGTCGGAAACACCATTAGATTATTTCTGACGAAAAAATTGCCGGTTTGTACGCCAATATTTTCGGCGAATGTATATCCGTTGGAAATGCTGTCAGAAATTGCAGTCTTTCTATAGTGTATCGCCATCGATGACTAGCATCATAAATCGCTACCATATCCAAAATACTGATAAAATTTAACCTTGCTGTTGGTTATAACTTTCCGCCTATGGAAACTTGCTTTTTGTACTTCCTATTGGTAAAATCAAGCTAGTTGTTCAGTGTTAAGTGTTAACTGTCTATCTATGAACATTTGATTTTTATAATCTCCCTCCATAAGTCTATTTAATCCTTCCACCCCTCTCATAGTTGTAGGAGCTGCAGAATTATTAACTTGAAATAATTATCTTAATTAATCATAAAAATACTTAATTAGTCATAATTAACATATTTTACAAATATTAAATTAATGTATGAAATATCTGAAGTCAAGTAAACCTCCAACCTTGAAAAAACAACATAAATAAAAATTGTTCATGATACTATAATTAAGTCAAATTAAGTCAAACTCCTTAATCAAGATTAATGATATAATTAATATTATTTAATCATAAAGAATAAATTTAATGAACATAATGAGATGTTTATAATTAATTAAATTTGCTAATACATAGAAGCGATTAACACCATAGTGATGATATTAAGCACATGGTTAGAGTTGTAAATGAACTGAGTGTTTAACGAATAGCTTGTGGCTTCGCATGATAAGAGCTTGTTTATATTCGTTTGATAAGGTAAACGGACGAGTCTGGACACTTCTGATAAATACTCGATAGCTTAAAAAAAACGAGCTCAAGCAACTTGACATTCAGTTAGTTTAGGTTCACGAACAGTATGGTTTAACGCTCGCGAACAAGCTCGTTAGAAGCTTGATTAGAGTTTTGAGAATAAATATTATTAAATTAATTTTACTAATTTATTTTTAAAATCCCGAATCCCGCTCGATTTTCTGATTAGACTATTCGCTCCCGCTCACTCATTAGGGGGAAAAAACCGAGTTCTTTTAGTCCCACAACATGCAAGAGAACTTGATTTTACTCTATATAATGAAAGATATATTGGGAGTTCGTTTTAAAGATGGCAAACGAGTTGGGTCTACAATGAAGTTTGGTAGACAGTTCGGTAAGCCAGGCGGGGCGTGTGGATCTGCAAGCCGCCAGAATGAAAAAAAAAATGATTTTGTTTATAGACTCGAGCTCGTTAATAGGCTCGGCTCATTAAACGAGTTGCTCTTTAATAAGCTCGAAAAGCCTAAATGAACCGAGCTTGAACATGAGCTGAGCTCAAGCACAGGGGTTGTTAAACAAACTCGAGCTCAAACATGTATGAAAAGCTAAAATCTTATCGAGCCAAGCTCAAATGCAATCTTGACAAATGAGCTCGATCTGGAATATTCCGAAGCTCATCTCGACTCGGTTCATTTACAACCCTACGCATGGTAACAAAATAAATGATAATTAAAATAATTTTCACCTGCAATTATAAATGAAATAATTCAATAAATAAAAAACAAATGAATCACTCTTAAAATTATTACTAATTTATGTAATATCTAAATACATTTTGAATAATTATTGGTAAAATACAACCAATTTTTTTTAATATATTCATTATGTGTGAGACATTTGACTAGTCCTATTCAATTGATTAATAACACATAACTAAAATATTGTGGAGAGACCAATCATTTTATTTTATTTAATGGCGAGCTGAATTAAATAAATACATTTAAAGTATAAAAGGGTTGTAATCTATAGTTTAAGGAGTTAAATTCTAATTTCTCTTATTTCCCATCTTGTGTGAAAATGAGGGATCTTTCGCTCTCTTGTAAACATCACTTCAAACGTGGAATACCAAAAATCTCAAAATCTCAATTTTATATTTTCAATGAATTTATGTACACTTCTAATAATTTTCTTGATTATTTGACGTGTGATTTAAGAGCCTTGAAATTATTTTTGTCTCCAATGTATTGTTCATTACCATGATAATTTATTTATTAAATTATGCTTATATTTATTTTGAGGTAAAAATTCTTTTAATAGATAATTTATAATGAATATATTTAATGTTCATTATTTATAAATTCATTACAATTTTTTTTTAATCATTAATTTCTCTATTTATTTTAAAAAATCTACCAACCAAAAGAATAATATAAATTGTTTTTAAAAATTTAAAAGTTTTGTCAATGAGAAAATTTATGTAGAAAATTCTGAATCAGACACCCTATAATTGATAATCAAGGGCACAATCATTAAAGCAAATTGAATGATTCTCATCTCCATCATATGTATTTGCGTGCACAAGCATTGCACAAGATTTTTGTACGGCGCCAACGTCTCTCTGGTCCCTTCCAGATAATTATCCGGCATTTTTATCTGCAATTATTCCGCACTTCTCATCCAAGAGTAAAGTTCGGTGAGCATAATCGCGAGAGTTTGGTGTGTTCTTCGGAGTTTGGGCAAGCGTGTTTCTCATTAGCAGCGGCAGATCGGCTTCTTTCCTCTTGGTGCAGGCTGGTACGAAACCTTTCTTCCTCATCCTACTTTCTCAAAGCCAGGGATTTTGTGCTTTTTTTGCTTGCCACGTTTTCACCTCTCTCTGTGGCGGTGTATTTTGATGCGAGGCAATGCGTAAATTTCTTAGCTTTCTGCTCCTGTTCTTATCAGCTTGAACGTATCAGTTCCAGATTTGAAGTTCTGGTTTAATGGTTTATAGTGTTATAGTTGCTTATTCCATGATATGTATTATAGGTCACTTGGTTTTTTGTTGTTCGCGTGCTTGTAAATGTGCAGAAACTGAATTTTGGCCTTGTTTATATTTTGTATTATAGATTGCTACCCTTTGGATTGTTAGATTATGGTTAGAGTTATGATTTTCAATTTTTTGTGCTTGGGAAATTTGTTTCCTGTTTTAGATCTGAGGTCTCTTGGATATTTTGGAACGCCCAATTTCGTTTGTGGAGGTATTAAATGAAGATCTAGGGTATTTGCCTTGCTTTAATGTGGTTCCTGGTATCTTTTTAATTTTCTCCACCTCTTCTGTTGCTTGATCTATGCTATGATGCTTGAAATGGTGTAAATTGTTTTATCAAGAACCAACTTTGAACAAATTTTTGAGGAATTAGAGCAGTAAGGAGACATTATTATCATATTCAATCAATTTGTTAATCATTTTGCTGTCTAGTAGTATTTTGTTGGATTATTAATGTGGTGTAGCATACTTTTGTGTCCATGATGAATAAATCTGAAAATTTCAACAATACCTAAATTTTTATAATGCAGAAATTAAATTTAACTTAATGAACATCCCCTTTGCAAAGCTCTCATCTAGCTCTCCTTTAGATGTCAGATGCTTCCTCTATTTCGCTAATCACCATCCGTCCTATGCACTAGTAACTTCCTCCCCTCCCATTGAACTTATCTTTTGCTTTGGATCCTTTGTAATTCATTGTGGCCCCTTCTCCTCGAGCTCCTCAAACAACCCTCAACCTCTTCCTCCCTTGAATGTTAAGGATCTAAACTAACAAGGGTTATATGTACTAATATCCTTCCTCGACCAACTTTTAAATTAGCTCTGTGGAGAATTGAGGTGAAGAAGTTTTTTTTACCTTCAATGAACTAAATGATGGTGTGAAAGCTTGGGATCTAGCGCTCTGTGGGCTATGCATTGAAAAAAAAAAGAGTTAATTCTATGGTGTTCTTGTTGCAATAAATAAAACTTGGAAGCTCTCAGCTACTTAGAAATACTTATCTTAAATGAAGTTGTTTTTTCTATCTAAATTTCTCTTGTTGGGAATATTTCAACTCAATTTAGATGGGAGGGCCATGATTTTTCTTTGATAGATAATTCATCTTAAACAAAAGGTCTATTGACTCTAATCCTAAGAAGGACGGCTTTTTGACAATTTTTTTGTATTAAACTTCTTAAGGCTCCACCCCGTGTTGTTGGAACCCTAAAAGGATCTCAAGATTGCTAGCTAGTTCATTAGGCTTATTTGTCTCTTGTTTTGCTCAATATATGTTAGATTTAAATGATTAAAGTTTTAAAAAATCATAAGAAAATAAATATTAAAACAAATTAAAATCAGTTGTATAATGCATAGAGCTGTTAATGACTCAAACATGATAAAAAATAGTCCTATCAATGTCAGGCTCATTAAGAAAATGAGCTCAAAATATTTATTCAGTTTGATTTATTTAATGATTGAACCAAATAAAGGTTTCTTAGCCAGCCAAAGCTCAATGCTAGCTTGCTGTTTAAGAAAGATAAAAACTTTTTTTAGACTTCTAATCACTACATTTGGACATTGTTGAACTGCCCATGTAAACAGATATTGCCATTTGCTGAGGAAGAGTTATTAAATACAGTGCATGCTCATACGATATTCTTTTAGGCTTATGGGGATGCGTAGAAGCTATTCATATTTCATGCATTTATCATAGTAAGAGCTTATTAATTTGTTGTGATCGCATGGTGCTTAGGATTGTATTGATTCTGGAACAAGTTATATTTTCAAATTTGTAATTAAGGCTTCCTTTGAGATAACTTTCGTATTGCTTTCTAAAACGACTTTCTAGTAAAAAATTTCAAATTCAAAAAAAATTTGTAATAGAAAGCTGTTTTAGAAAGCAAGAAGAAAGCCGTCCCAAACGAAGCCTAAGATTCACATGAAGCATGATTATCATACATTCAACATGCTAAGGTTTCTTGGTCTCGTTTTGGCTGTTTGCAATCAATTTATTTGTGTAAGTAGTAGCACCAAGCTTACAAAAATGGCCATGCTAGTTGCTTTGCATTTGTAATGTGGTATGAAAATATTTACTTTTAAATGTTGAAACTAATAAAATGTCTGCTTTATTCTGCAACAGTTGAATCAAAATGAGCAGCACAGATGATGGCCATAATTCCTACTTCCCTTTTGGAAATTCTTTCAGGCTAATATTTTCAAGGAAATCTCACATTTCCCCCAAATTCCTAGCCTTGCTGAATGATTTTGAGCTAATGTTAGCTAGAAGCTTGAGAAGTCTTGAACCAAAGGATTCATCTGAAATCTTTAGCCTTTCTTGGATGAAAAAGGCTCTCGAGTCCTTATCGCTAATTCACACAAACATCAAAGGTTTAATTACTGATCTTCAATTTCCTCTCTCTGATTGGGATAATAGTTGGATGAATGTGTACTTGGACGACAGCATAAAATTACTAGATATTTGCATTGCTTTAAGCTCTGAGCTTTCTCGGTTCGATCAAGGACAGCTCTTATTACAATATGTTTTGCACATATTAGATCCTTCAATCAATTTTCCATCATCTGAGCAACTAAAAAGAGCAGCTGAATCTCATCATGAATTGATGTGGAGGTTCAAATCGAGGAATCCCAAGCTTGAACGCTGCCATGACATCTTACAGAAACTTGCAGAAAAGCTTTACATTGGAAAGGTGAGGAGCTCATCCAAAGGGAAGGTGCTAATGAGAGCTCTTTATGGAGTAAAGGTTGTAACCATATTTGTTTGCAGTATTATTATAGCAGTATTATCCGGTTCTTCCAAGCCTTTAATAGAATTGAACGCTCCTGAGAAATTCTTCTGGTCTAAGGCCTTTAATGAGTTGCAAGTTACCATACTCCCGGAGGTCAGGGCCCATCTTTCAAGTGAGAAGGTGTCACTTTTGAAAGAGCTGGAAGCTCTGGACGTCTCTGCAGGCAGGTTACATAACCTTATATGCAAAAAGCAAGAGAAATTACAATGTCAGTGTAATGTTGTTGATTCTGAAGAGTTTGCAGCAATGGAGAAATCAGCGGAGAATGGGAACAGAGAAGAGGAAGTGATATTGTCACAGAAACTGTCTGAACAGGAGGAAAGAAAAAGATTACAGGAATCTGTTGCAGACTTGGCTGAAAGAGCAGAGAAGCTGTTTGAAGGTGTAGATATTCTGTCCAGTCGAGTTGAAGATTTCTTCCAGATTTTGATGAATGGTAGGGATGCTTTACTTGCCAATCTTAGAGTACTCGATCAACCAGAAGAGAAAAAAGCTGTGAGTTGATCAAATTATCTATATATGTTTTCTTTATAAGCAAGATGTGTGTCTTATCCAGTTGTTCTATGTGGAATTGGCCTGGTGAGAATTTCTACCTCTTGCTAGTGTTGTTTGCTGGAACTTATTTTAGTGGAATTATGATATTTGCAAATCTGTCCTCCAATGTTTTAGCTAATTGTCCAATGCTCATAGGGATCTGGTTTTTAGATGCTCTGATCTGCTTATCTTTGTAACATCTTTCATGTATCATAAGTTTTAAATGTTTAAAATTGTGAAATGAATAAAGATGATTGGTAATGTAATAATAGATCAAATAAAGTATTAAATTTACATATTCTTATGTATTATAAGCAAATTAGTTGAAATTTAATTTTATTTATAGGGATATGATGTCCACAATTAGGAAATTAATAGTCAACAACATGGTTAAATAATGAGAAGAGTTCTAAAGATGGCGGCGATTGCTGACGATGATCGCCGGTTGCAATGGTGATTATTTTTGGCAATAATTAGTGGTAATCGTCGTGACAATAGCCGGAAAAAATGTAAGAGAGTTCTCCAATTCTGGTCTTCTTTTTTCTTCCTTTTATGCGGAGAATGATATTTTATGTATGTATATAGGCCTTTTGAGGCCTATATGAGATCATTATTTTAATAATTTAAACTATAATCCAAAACACTCAATTGTACTATTCATATAAATTATTTTGATCATAAAACTGTTTTTGAATATTTAAGTGCCTTAATAATGTCAGAATTGTGTGATCTTGAGCTCGTTGGATTCGTTTTATCGAACCGCTCGATTTGGCCATAGGCACGTCAAATTTGAAGTTAAGATGATCATCATGTTAATCTTAAAAAATTTAATTTAAATATTACCTCGAATCATATAATTATCTAGAGTCATATCATTTACAAATAAAATTTTAGTTCAAAAAGTCAATTCTTTTTTTTTTTTTGCATTTCTTTCATAATTTTGTGAGCAAAAACAATACATTAAATTCAATATCTAATTCATTCATCCCTTCAGATTAGCGTACACTAATATTTTTTTACTTAATCAAATGTTGCAGAACATAACATCAGGACTGTTTGAAATTTTCATTATTCTATTAATAAACAAATGCACAAAAGATCTTAAAAATATCATATGTCAATAATTTGCATAAATACAATTGAAGATAAACCCTAACTAAGAATATTAAATAAATATTAATATGATTAAAAAATAACTAAGACTAATTATGGGCATTATATGCTTATTTCTTGTGCATTATGTGAGATTAATTAATAGTTAGAATTGATTATACTGATCTCTTTCTAAGTAATTAATATTACTTATAATTTCTCTATGCTTTTTTTAAAAAATTACATTTACCTCAGTTGTTAGATATTTAATTACATATTTAACTGCAATTAGTTTCCTAAAACATGTCTCCTTTGCTATTAAATAATTGGGAGATTTACATACATACCACTTAATACTATGCTATTTACACATTTAACACCTAAAACTTTAATATTACATACATACCACTCATAGTTCATTTTCATATCAAATATGAGTGGTAGAAATGAAATATATGAGTGGTAGGAAAGAAATTTAAGTGGTATATTTGATATTAAAATAATGTAATATTAAAGTGGTATTCTTAAGATCTAACATCTGAGGAGACATGTAATATTAAAAAAATTAAAGTGGTATATTTGAAATTCATGTAATATTAAAGTTTTAGATGTTAGATATGTAAATAGGATGTTATAAAGTGGTATGTATGTAAATTTCCCATAATAATTATCTGACTATTTGTATATGACAATTTCAATACCAAAACACAACGGTGCTCCAATTTTGTCCTTCGACTCTACAAAATTGATTCAAAATAATTCTTTTGAGACCAAATTAATAGTAATTTTGTATAATCAAAGAACTAAATTATAATCAATTTTATATCACAATTATAGTAAGAGGTATTATTTTAAATTAATTTTATATAGTCGAGAGATTAAGGCTTCATTTGGGACGACATTCTTACTCTTCTTAAAACTTTTTCTAGTTCAAAAATTAAAAATTTTGAACTAGAAAACTACTTTAAGAAGCAGTAAGAAAGCCGTCCCAAATGAAACCTAAATTGAAATAACTTGATACTCTAAGACTAAATTAACCATACACAAATCAGTTTGAGAATAAATTTCTATTACAATAATTATATATATAATATTTTACGACTTTCAACAAATTTACTCATAAACTCACACATAAATATGTATTTAAAATCTCGAAAAAATTAATGACGTCCTAAGTTTTATTTGGGATAGCTTTCTTACTGCTTTCTAAAACAGTTTTTTAGTATACAAAATTTTTAATTCTAAAAATTTTTTATATTAAAAAAGTGCTACAAAAAAAGATAAAAAAACTATCCTAAACGAAGTCGTAGTTGAAAGCCTAAGCTCTTCCAATCAATCTTTAAGCATTGTCAGGTAACACGCTGAAAACAGGATAGGCTATTAGCAGCTCATATTCCTACTAAAATATATGAAGAACATCAAGTGGGGCAAGAAATAACAGGATTTACGTTATCTGAATAAGCAGATATATACTATCTACGGCACCACCATTCTTTATTCTTCCTTCTACAATTATCATTTGAGCAGAAAATAGGGAGAATCTACAAAAGTCTAAGAACAAGAAACGGAACAGGCAGGGCATTTATAACTCACAAAACCTGCTCAAAGAAAATTTACCAAGCTATGAAGCACAAATACTCAAAAAAACAAATCTAATTTATTAGTGTAGCACACATTATATACAGCAAAACCACACCAAAACCTATGTTGCACCGATACACCTATTTATGAAGGCGTGCTGTATCCGACACACCGATACACGGATACGCCTCCGATACACCACCGATACGTATCGGATACGCCAAAGCCGTATCCAATTAAAATACTATTTAATTTCAAAAGGACACACATATCTGATACGCGTGTCCGTTGAAAAACAAAAAGAAATCCGAAAAAAAAATGTGCGTTGTATTTACTTCCGCAGTTGCGAGCAAGGTTCTCTCATTTCCGAGATGGATTTGAGTCTCTTGATGATATGGGAATATTATAAATTACTAATCTTTCACTTGATGAGCCTGAATTAGAAGCTATGATATTTATTGAAAATGATATAGAAGTTCAAAGACAAACCACTGAAGAAGCTAATCATATCATTCCTTCTATTAAATAGTTGAAATTTCATGTACTAGGCAATTTATGTTTATGCTTTTGTTGTTGTACTAGACATTTAATGCTTACTTATATTTTGATATTATAAGCTATAAGGCTACAAATGATGTTGTTGTCATTTTTGTTTTGTAATTTTAAATTTTATGTTTTGATTGCTTTCTAAATTTTTATGTATGATTTATAAATTATAACGCCGTGTCCGCGCCGTAGTCGTATCCTGTATTTTTAAGAATTGAGGTGTCCTGTATCCGTATCCTGTCGTACCCGTGTCTCCATATCCGTATCAGTGCAACATAGACCAAAACATTTATCCAATAGTGTTGATGCATTAGATTTGCTAAATCATATTTGAATTTAAACAGAACTGCAATATAGGCTTCGTTTGGAATGACTTTTATATTGCTTCTTAAAACGGCTTTTTAGCGCAAAAATTTTAATTTTTGTACTGAAAAGCTGCTTTAAAAAGCAGGAAGAAAACTGTGCCAAATGAAGCCATAATTTCATGTTTTGACAATAGGTAAGGATTATACAACTCAAACTCAAATCCTGCATAGCAGGTCCAATACTGGCGAATTCAAAAAGAAAAACTTTGCAAAGATTACAACTTCTAATCCCCCGCAAGTCAAACACCCGTAGCAGTTGTATCAATAAATTCACAGATTAGTTCACTACAGAGAAATAAAACGAAAATTAACATATAAGTCTTGCATTTGCTCCAGGTCACCTCATCAGATTCAAATACATCCTGCCATCTCATCCTTTAACGATTATAATCTCTCCTTTTTTTTTTTAAGCTTTATCTTCCAGACACAATAAGCAGAAAACAACGGGATCAAGCAAAGGAGATATGGGAAGATAAAATATTCCTTGATCAAAATGACATGGTGGTCACAATCACAATTACAATTCCAGGCAAGATTTTAGAAATTAGATTTAAGGTTCAAAAGTTCAAACAGATTTGAATCTGAGATTGATTCGAATGACATGATAAATATTAAAATTATTTTAGTATAACTTAAATGACATAACAATGGAATATATTTTGTTAAAGAACTATATTATGACAGATTATATAACTAGAGAATATCTTTCATAATTTTCATAACATAAAAGCAAAAGAAAAAAATTGATCAATTCATCCTAAAATCCAATGAAAATCTATAATAATGCTAAAAAATAATATATCACTTTGATACCCTCTCAATCTAAATGTTCAAAAACATGCCCTAAAAATACTAAACAAAAACAATGTGAAAAATAAAAGTTTCATATTCTCAGAACTTTCATCATTGGGATTGGAGAAGATGGCTCAATGGAAGAGGACGAAGAACTACCAACAAATAACAGATGAAGAGAGAAGGAGAAGTTGCTTTGGTTTCGTTGCCAATAAAAAGCAATGGATGTTCATCTTTCATGACTCACAAAAGCCTTTTTTTTTCTGCTCAACACGAATATTGCTATAGTCCACTCCTAATACTCAAGTGAAATGGAAAAATGATCCATTCCTTAAGGCAGTTGCTTTAAGATCAGATTAACTTTAAGTGGAAATTCAAATTATTTGGCAATTTCAAATGATTAAATTGAGATTAGGCCAATCCCAACTTATCATAGGAAATAACAGGCCTAGAGTTAATTCTAATCCAGACGGTGTATCAGGATCGAGGCAGACAGAGAGCGGATTGGCAAATCTAGAAAAAAAAATTTTTTTTTCTTTTGGAGGGTTAAAAAAAATTCATGCCTCTGATCTCATGTAAATCTCAGTCCCTGACTCCCTTCAAAGAATTATCAACTTGAAATTCATGCCTCTTAAAAGTTGTCACAATATTAACTAAATAACAAATTTCACTTCCACTAAAATTGAATGTCATAACACAATTTATATTTACATAATTAGCCAATTGTCTTTTAAACTTTTTTCTCAATTGTCACAACTTTTTTCTCAGTTGTTCAATTTTTTAGTTATTAAAATAAATGCCTCACTATTATAACTATCACTCAAATATCCTAGGTAAGTGTCCCATAACCAATGCCAAAGGATAAAGACTAAATATTGAATTTATATTATGATTGCAAGTTATTTAGTCGCTATAAAAAAATCAAGTCAATGATCGGTCATAGATATGGTTGATAACTTGAATGCTCATTTGACTAGAACTTTTTCTCCTTATTGCACATCAAATCAATCCTTGTAATACTTGATCAAATTGTTTCTTAAGATCAATAAATCATATAAAGACATTACTTTCCTATCTTTTTTTTAACAATTGCCTTAGTGCTGCAATCTTCTATAAAATAAACCTCGACAGAAAATCACATTGATTCACTAAAAGTGACTTTATTTTTTCAAGCCTATGCTTCATTACTCTTTCCTAATAATTTCATTACAACAACAACTTACCTTCAACTCTCTCTCTAGTCTTATCAACAAGAAGAATATCATCAGCAAAAAGTATACACCATGGTACAACTTCTTGCAAATGTCTAGTGAGAACCTCCATGACTAAAGCAAAAAAGATATGAACTTAAGGCTAATCCTAGATGTAATCCAACTGAAATAGGAAAATACTTGGTCAAACCACCTTGTGTCTAAACACAAGCAACACCTCCTACATGCATATCCTTAATGACTTGAACATAAGAATTATTAACCCCGTTCTTTTCTAGAACTCTCTATAGCACTTCTCCTGGAACTTTATCATATCCTTTCTCTAAATAAATAAATATCATATGTAAATCATCCTTATTCTCTCTATACTTCTCCATCAAACCTCTCAATAAATATATAGCTTCCATAGTAGACCTACCCGGCATGAATACAAATTGATTTTGAGAAACGTTAGTATCACGCCGCAACCTATGCTTCATAACTCTCTCCCATAGTTTTAAAGTATGACACCTTAATTGATGTGAAACTACTAGGATATTATTTTAGAAATTAAAAAGAGAAGAGATTAAAGTGTTGCTCGTTATAAATTTAAAGCTAGCACATAAATTTTGAGTTAGGAATTTGAAACTTTTAACTTGCTTAGGTTCAAGAAGCACAATTGAAATTAACCGAAACACATTCATTCAAAATTCAAGGGAAGGTAAATGCAAAGTACCGTTAACAAAAACCCAACGTTTAACAACGAGAATTTCACCTCGGGGCCGTCTCACTCAAATATTAGTAGGCTTTTAGCGGAGAGAGAAGATCCATGCGATGAAGGATATTACCACTAGGGAAGCGACACCGAAGAACCTCGTTGGTGGAAAGGTAGCCGGCGGGGAAGGAGGTAGTGGGCAACTTACGAGGCTCCAATTGTGGCTTGAGAATCGTCGGTCGAAGATGCTAGCAAGAATCGGGACGACTCGGTCCAAATATTCTTCCACGGTGATCTCGTCTTCAAATCCTATGTCAAAGCACGGGGATCGTAAGATGTTGATGCTTCCGTCAGCGTTGAATACAAGACCCCATTCAAACTCGGGATCCGCCATTCAACATTGAAGAGAATCGGGGAGAGGGGGTCGTCTTCTCCTTTCCTTGCTGAAATTTCCCAAGAGAGGGAGTGAGGAGGTGGTCGGCCAAAACAGGGAAGGAAGGGGGCGGGTGGATGGGATGAGGAAAATTAGATTAGGAGAGGGGAAGAGGAGAGTTACACAAATCTGAAATTAATTTCAGAATTTGTGTAAATTGGAGGGAAGGAAATTTGAAATTGATTTCAAATTATTAAGGGGATTAAAGGGCAATTAATGGGCATTAATGTGGCCCATTAAAGAGGAGGCCGGTGGCTTAATAGAGAGAGGAAGCATGTAAATTCAAAACCCTGAAATTTGATTCAGATTTTGAACAAAATTGGAGGGGGGTTAATTTGAAATTGATCTCAAATTAATGGGATAATTAATGCATTAATTGGTGGCATGAGTGAGGGCCCATCCATGGTGGCCGGCGGCTTCATGAGGGAGGGATCTTGTGTGGGGAGCAAGTGATTGGTTTCCAAATTGGCTCATGACATTTAGGAAGGATTAAAATGAAATCCTTTAAAACATGTACACTTATTAATGACTTAATCATCCAAAGTCACAATCCCCCCACTAGAACTATTATTACTAAAATTACACTCCATATATTCAGTTTTAGATCTACTCAAATGAAAGCCTTTAGACTCTAAGGTTGACCTCATAATTCAAATTTACCTTCAACTCTCTTTCTAGTCTTATCAACACGAAGAATATCATCAGCAAAAAGTATACACCATGGTACAACTTCTTGCAAATGTCTAGTGAGAACCTCCATGACTAAAGAAAAAAAGATATGACTTAAGGCTAATCCTAGATGTAATCCAACTGAAATAGGAAAATACTTGGTAAAACCACCTTGTGTCTAAACACAAGTAACACCTCCTACATGCATATCCTTAATGACTTGAACATAAGAATTATTAACCCCTTTCTTTTCTAGAACTCTCCATAGCACTTATCTTGTAACTTTATCATATCCTTTCTCTAAATAAATAAATATCATATGTAAATCCTCCTTATTCTCTCTATACTTCTCCATCAAACCTCTCAATAAATATATAGCTTCCATAGTAGACCTACAAATACATCGACTACATCACATCTGAATCAAAAATAGAGGCGCTGAATCGTGGCCGTCGATCTGCGATTTCGACGGCGATAAACATGTCGGTAGCGTCTATCGATGTCCTCATCATTAATTCCTCTATAATTCGCACAATCTTATGCATCATCTTTATTCTTAAAAATATGAATCAACAAACTCATTCTCCACTCATCTGGCATTTTTTGTCTTCAAAATAATATTAAAAAGAAATGGGTTTCCTAATAATTTCATTGTGTAAATAAAAAAATTAATTCCCATTTAATCACTCCAAACCTGAGCATCTCTTTGATTCTCAAATACTCTTCAAATCTAACTAGGAATATCTTCTAGACCTGAAGCATTTGCCTTTATTCATCTTCCTAAATGCTAAACTAGCTTAATTTACTGGATCCATCTATAATGTACTTCATGATTATGTTCATGATGCTCTTCTATGAGATTTCTTCATTACAACACTCAATAGTTTCTTAAATAGCATTACTATTTTTCTTATTGCATTGATTCCCACTTAATAGTTTGTATATCAAAGAGTATTAGCAAAATATAGATTGATATAAAATTAAGATTAACAAACGATTGCACCTTCATCTTAGTAAAGCACCTAATTTTCCATGCGAACAAGCTACAATAGAAGACAACCAATAGGCTTTAAATAACTTGCCAAATTCTTTTTTTTACCCTTGTATTTCCAAGGTGAACAAATAATTTCCAATCAAAATAGAAGACAAAGAGTTGGCTGACTCACCAAGGAAATCATCAGCACTTTAAGCAGAATTTGTGGATATCTATATCCATAAACATTATTTAAAACAGGAACTACAGGAACTAGAGCACCCCGCCAGTTCAGCAATTCATAGATGGATCAGTGAAGACATAAAAAACAATCAACCAAGTGCGGCAGAGCTTAGAAAGCACACATTACACAGAACACTATAGAATTTAATTTCCAGAAAAGGTAAATTAAGGCTTAGACATAGAAAAACTAGTGTCATACTGAAAATTCACATCTTTGAAATAGAACAGCTATATACAAATGTTAACTGATAAATCTAAGATTATACTAACTATAGTATTCGCATTTACATAAGCTTCTTGTTACTGACCAGCCTAGAGATCCCTCAAAGCGAATACATTCCACTCACATAATGGGGAAGATATTCCAGTCATCATCGTCTCCATCAAGAAAATTGAAGCTCACATCCCCTTTGTAACGGAAAGTTGGGTTCACATAGCACTTCATCTCATGGAACAGATTCAGATTATCCACCAGCTTGTGGAAGATATTGCAGCCGCAACACTATCCTCAGTCACACAACCAAATAGTTAGAAAGAAAAAGATTAACTGCAAAACCGATCAAAGTTTTCCATCAAACAATTATCCATCCCATTTGATACCTGGACGAAGACAGTTCCGTCGGTGTACGCATGAGGATTGATGGCGCGCGTAGTTCTCTGACCACAAACGTTACACGTAAAGGCGACGCGCATCCGCCGCCGAGGAGATTTCGTAAAGAGAGACCACGGAAACGTTGAGACAGTCCGAGCGCCGAAATCCGGCTCAGGTGCAGCCGGGCCTTCCATTCCGGAGCCCGTAGTCCAACCTCTTCCAACCGCCGCGCTCAGAACCAGACCCATCGCTTCATCCTGAAACGAATCCATATATTCCTCTAAAAAATCATCAGATCTAACGAAAACTGATTGGTTAATGTATATAATACCTTGGGAAGACGAAAAAGAGAACCATGGTTCTTGGGCAAAGGGACGAGGGCCGTATCCTCGTTGTCGGCATGGAAATCATGTCCATCTTCTCCATCTGGACAGAGTTTGGCAAAATAATCAGTTAAATCTTGTGATCAAGTTAAAAAACCAAAAAAGGAGAGACAATAGAAAAGTGGAAGGTACTCTTGGATGAGATTCGGAGAGGGGGAACGCGTATGGATAAGCTCGTTCTCTTTGGGGTGAAGACGGAGAGAGGAGCGAACGAGGATGAAGAGCAGGAGATTCTTGCTGAACTAACAAGTGACTCCATAGATGGCCGACGGAAGGAAGTCAAGGGACAGAAGCCAAGGAGCTCTCAATTGACAGAGGAAAATCAGGACCAACTTCTCGCAATGAAGTATAGGCAACTTATTACTATTTCCTATGTGCTAAATATTTAAATTATTAATTTATTTTTCATTATTTTTATATTTTTATTGTAAATATATCTTCATTATTTTCATTATTTATTTAGATACCATATAATTCCTATATATTTATATATTTCATCAAAAATTAATATGATATATTTTTTTTTTTTGCCATCTTCTCTTGTTTGTATATAGTCAAATTTGTAATATAATATTCAATAAAGATAATATATAATATTTTATTTATTTTAGTAGGATATATATAAGCTTTGAGCCTCTATCTAATGCTCCTCTTCAATAGCATATACCTTCAATCCTCTAGATACAACTATGACCCTATTCTCTTTTCACTACTTTGATAACCTTTCCCTTTATTATTTGCATCGAATCCATCATAAGAATAACTCCTATTTCTCTCAATTAGCCACTAATCTCTCTTTGATCATTGTCATCCAAGGTGCACTGTCATCGTCGTACATTACTAATAATTGATCAAGACATCCGTGACTCCATTGGCTAGATGATCAATTGCATGGTGTTGCCAGTCTCCATCTATGTGTGTCTGGTCTCTAATCATTTCATGTCACCATCTTCAATTGATTTGGCCTCTTTTAGTCACCATCATAACCCTAATTTATCTTAAATCCCCTTTTGATTACCCTGATAAAAAAAATGTTTTAGCCTCAACTACGTCAAAATTTTCATGACCCTTGTCAACGTTGCCTCCTTTTCTCAAAAGCTTGCATGCACATCTACGCCTCTTCATCATAGCCTTCACAGATGGTTATATCTTAAATCCTCTTCTTATTACTAGTTCTTCTTTTTCTCTTATTGACTAGATTAGTGGTTGCTTTTCTTTTTTTTTTCAAGTCGACGTGTCGCCCGTTTATTTTCAGAAAGGTAATATATTATAATTTATATATTATCATACATGCTAAATATTCTAGTAGTGATCTATAATAGTTATTATTATAATATATCATTATTATTGAGAATATTTCCTTATGTTTCCTTTTATTATTATCTTATCATATCAATATATAGTCAAGTTGTACTAAAATAATCAATAAAGAAAACATGTAGTCATTTATTTGTTTCCACATAACTATCCATATAATTCATTTTCAACTAGGATTTGTGAACAAATTTTAAATAGAAATTTTTATTATTGATAAAAAAATTATGTATTTTATTGTAAAGAATTAGTTTTATAAAGCAAAAAAAGAGAAAATATACTCTTCTATAACTTAAGGTCATGCATAATTATGTTCTTTTTTAAAAAATTAAAAATAATTTCGTCGTATAAGAGAGATTTTAATCGAGATAATTATTAATATTCAAATACATATAATTAGAGGAGTAAATTAAATATATATGAAAACACATGATTTTTTATGTGAAACCTAAAAAAGAAAGGACATAAGCAATTGACATATGAAATAATGTCCACTACAATGTAGTCATTTGTTACAATGAATTACCCTTCCACAAATTTGAAGATGTTATTATTAAGGCTTCGTTTGAGACAATTTTTTTGCTGCTTTTAAAACAATTTTTTAGTATAAATATTTTTTAAATTAGAAATTTTTGTACTACAAACCCGTTTTAGTAAGCAGTAAGAAAAATGTCCCAAACGAAGGCTACATGTGATGTAACATACTAGAAAGCTGTTTTAAAAAGTATTAAGAAAGCTGTCTCAAACGAAGCCTAATAAACTCCCTGTAATTTGACCATTTTGTTAATAATAATGATTTTAATTCAAAAAACTTATGAAGAATAAATCATATAAAAATTGTTGAATGCATTTTGTTAATAATAATGATTTTAATAAATCCCTTTGTGAGATATGCCGCAATAGAATTAGCTTTTGGAAACTATAGCCATAGTTGATAATTTTGTTTGGTCCATTGCATGATTGTAATAGTTATTGGTCGCATTAAATGTTTGACCAACTATGAAGAAGCATTCAATTACATATAAAAGAATGTGAATATTTTAGTTATCTAAAATTCAAACATGATTACATAGTTGATTCAACTCATAAATAAGCATAAAATTAAGTAAAGTGTTGCAGAGATGAGGATGTTCAGATGGATAAGTGACATTACATCTAAAGATAGAATAAGAAATGAAAATATACGTAAAAAAGTTTGAATAGCTCTAACAATAGATAAAATAAGATAAGAGTCGTCTTAGATGGTTTGGTAGCATAAAACGTCGACCTCATGATAATCCTGTTAGGACTTAGGAGAGTACATGTACTACATCCGACCTATGTTAAGAAAAGTAGATGTAAATCTAATGAGAATGGGTTAGAAAATATTAAAAATAATTAGTTTTTATTAGATTTAAATGAGAATTTTACTATTAATATGATAAAATTGAGAAAGAAGTATTCATCTTCGTCACGTCACACAATGGTTTAAGAGGGGGGTAGGGGAATTGCTTAAAACCCTTATAATAAAGAGAGTAAAAATAAATTGAGGGAGACAAATTACTCAAAGAATATATAACAAAGAGTAAAAATTGCCCCCAACCCTCCAAAGCTCAAGGGGGATCCACCCCTGAGTGGTTTAAAGGCTTGTTTTCGTTGCTACTGTTATTGTTGTTGAGTTGATTTAAACAAAATAATTATATTTTGATTTTGTTAGTTTATAATTACTCACTCAAATTTGTTTGCGTCTTTTTTAAAGCACAATTAAAAAAAAATAATTTTGACTTAGAAAATTAATATTAAAATATTTGCAACACCAATCACAATACACTTTAATTCAAATAAAAAATAATAATAATATTTTCAAAATTTGAAACTATGTTACCAATTAGCCCCTCTCTCCCTTATCATGTGGTTCATATTAATTGATTAAACAATTAGTAAGTACCACATGCTATTTTGGCTTTATTGTGGGTGGTGAAAGAACATCCCCTTCTCCTCTTTGTTCATACAAATAAAATGAACAAAATTTTTAATATTTTTTTTCAATATTAAATGAACTAGATTATATAATATTGACCCTTTCTTCTGTTCTTTATTTATTTATTTTTAAAAAGAAGAGGCCGTTCACGCAATTTTAAAACTACTGAGATTTAAAAAAAAATTATGTTATATGTACCTTATTATAATTCATATCATAATAAATTTAAAAATGATTATTTTATCTTAAAATTAATATTTTACATAAAAATTATATTAAATTAATTTTTAAAATAATTTTAATCAAATTAATTCTAATACAAATCATAGATATATATATATATCTATCAGGATCATATTGCTATATATTTCTAGGATCTTTTTTTGAAACATAGGTCAATTAAGAAAAGGGAAACTCACATACACATCACATATGTAAACATTGACAGCTAACACATCAAGATAAGCTAACTTTCTATAGAAATTATTTTGTGCGGAGTCTGGACGGGAAGAACCGTTCGGACATGTAAGTGCAGTGTGTATCAAATTTTTATACACAATATATACACGCTCACAGTCCGAACAATTTTTTTTGTCCAAATTCCGTACAGATTAATTTCTCGTCTTTCTAGTATCTCAAAGCAAAAGCACTCTTGCCATCTTATAACAATTGGAAGCCTACTTTCCCAAAATGCATAGACATCAGAACTAAGAACAGCAAAATATTTCATAAAATACATAGAACTAAAATAGTAAAACTATAAAAGAAATTCCAAAGAAATGATGCTACAAAACTCATTTCAACAAACTATAAAAGAAATAAATATATAACCGTTATATTGTAAACACTTCCACAAACCCAATAGCACAAACGGCATTCAAACGCAATTATAAACTTTCTCAAATATCAGAGTTCAGCATTTGATGAGGTAAAAGTATTGCATGAAAATATTTGATTATATTTTGACAAAAAATTTAAGGGTAGATATTAAAATTTTAATATATTTTAAAATTAATACTATATTTTATATTTATTTTAAGATAAATATAATAACATTTAAAAATAAAATATTAATCATTTTCATTAATATGCAGTTCTATGCGCATTTCAAAAGATGACCAAACAGACAACTAAGTTCATGACCCCACATCACTGAAGAATATTAAAAAGAGAATTTCTACATAATTTAGTTGGCCTATTTTTCAAACAAAAAACATTCAACTAATATATCAACTTTTTATCTTAAATTTCACAAAAAAGAGAGAAATAGGAAGCAAAATTTCATGAAATTACAAAATGATTTAAGGTCAGTTAGGGATAGCTGTAATTTTTTATAAAAGTGATTATAACATTATTATGAAGAAAATAACTTTCTTGAAAGCTATTATAAAAAACCTCTTATTAAAAAAAAAATTTGTTAAAGCACTAAAAAATAATGATCAAATAAAATTGATGTTTTTGATATGAAAAATAAAACAGTAAAAAAATTATATCAAACAAAGCCTTAGTCATGCTTTAGACATATAAAATTACCACAAAAATAATCTAGCTATTAACATAAATAATTTATTAATTTTATAATGCTGAGTACAAAAATCAAATGAATTTCTCAATGCATGAATAAAAAATGTAAAATACTTCCAATGAACATATTAAAAATTTTGTACAAATAACACTTCTAATGAGGGCAATAGAAGACATTTATTCATTTCATAAAATTAAATCATCAATTAAAAGCAACAACATCAAAAATAAAATTTAAATGCAAGTTGAAAACATAATTTGATTGATATGATTGATGTGATTAATGATAGTCTATTTAGGCTTACTTTGAAATAATTGTTTAATTGCTTTATAAAGTAATTTTTTTTAATATAAGAATTTCTTGAATTAAATTTTTTTATTAAAATATTATTTTAAAAAATAGTAAAAAAATTTGGGAGAGAGAAAGATATAAGATATATTGCAAATAATAAAATGTTACACTTTAGTTTTATTTTAGTAAGATATAGAAAAGAGTATAACCTAACTAATATTCAAATATATCATAAATTTATTTGATTTATCAAGTTCTTAATACAATAGATTTAAATCAATCAACAATAGTTATAATTTATGTCCAGCCAGCTTAGTCTAAATTATGACAATGAACATCTAAATATCCCAATCTCAAAATAACCGATTAACATACCAAATCAAAATTTCTTCTAATAATTAAAATATTATAAAATAACACAAGAAAATCATAAACCAAACAAACCCTAAAAAATTAAAAATCTATATGATAAATACTAAAAATAGATGAAAAGATCATTTTCAGCAGCAAGATGATAAATATGATAAATATATGTATATAGTGGGAGTAAAGAAATCACACGAATATCAAGTATTTTAAGTGTCACCCAGCAGAACTAAAACATATATACACAGAGAAAATCATTTCAGGTAAGTGAAAATTTCAGAATTCTGATGAGAACTAACCATCTCAGCTGACTGAGCAATCACCAGGATTCTCAGCTGACTCGCCGCCTCCGCCGCCGCCACCACCGTCATCATCTGTTGAATCATCAACACCCCTTATTCTCATCAAAAGGTCCAACAAATCACCATTAACGACCAAGCTTTCACCGCCATCAGCTGAGGCAGAATGCTGAAACGTTATGATCTGTGACATTAGATCTATAGGGAGACCTAAGCGGCAGAGCCTGTTCCTCCTCTTGGGCTGTTTAATCTGAAGCAAAATCATGTAATACTATCAGAATAAAAAGACTGGAACTGCTTTGTTGATATTTTCTTTCTTTTCTTCTTCTTCTTCTTTTTTTTGTTATGCTTGTTGTATTTTTTCAGTTTTAGTTTGGATTTAAAGTGTTTCATTTCTGCATATGTTTCTTGATTAGAAGAGTAGTTGTTCCGGAAAAAATTTAAGATAAATATTAATATGTTTTTATAAATTCGGTAGATATCAATATTTTTATTTTATTTTTCCAGTAGACATCACTACTTGTTTTCATAAACGAGGGGGGAAAAAGCCCCATCAAACTGATAGGAAGGGCTCGTAGAAATTCAGTAGTCCTTGGGCTGAAATTTAATTTCAGCAGCCCCAAACACAAACCACAAGAATAATTAATAGGAATAAACAGAGAATAAACATTTTTAATTGATGATATTAGGAAGAAAATAAATAAGATATAATGAATCTTCAATTGGAGAGGAAAATTCAGCTCTCCAAAATCCCTAGCTGTCGTTGTGTTTGAATTTGTTGGGTTTCAAGGCTGCAATTTCCGACCGGCTGGGTTGGTTTCCAGTACCTGTTATTTTTTGTGTAACAAAGGGCTGCTTATGCTTCTGTTCTTCTTTTACTGTGATGCTATTTTTATCTCTGTGCAATACCTATAATATTTTGAGGCTTGTGGTTTTGCTTTCCTTGGTTCTGGTTGGCCCTATTGTTTATGCTTGGGTTGCTTTTTGGCCGGGCTGTAATTCTGTTATTACTTGTGGCTTGGCTCTTCCATTGTGCGGAGATAATCACTTTGTGAGTTTTTTGTTTACTGCTTATTTAAAGGTCATTACTGATGTATTTTTGGATTTTAACTTCCTCATTCTGATTTTTGTCATGAGTTCAAACCTTGCAGGTGGCTTGGCCTGCATGAATATCTTAAGTTTCTGCAGGTTTAAGGTTTGGATTATATATTTCTTTTCTCCTAAGCATTTTTTGCAGATCTGCCTTTTCATGCAATGTGAGCTTCAACTTTTGGGGAAGTTTGTGCTGAGACAGCCATTCTTTTGATCTTCGTGTTTTTTTGTAATTGTGCTTAGTAGGGATCTAAGGCTTTTAGGTTTTCTTTTGCTTGTTTTTTTAGCCCTTTTAAGGACTATGCAATTTTTTTCTTAATTAACGCATATGCTCCTCCGTGGGTCCCCTCACCAAAACAAAAAACAAAAGCATACAATAAAAGAAAACATCCAATAATAATAATAATAATAAAGCATACAATAATTTCCCTAATCCCCAAACAACCTCCCTATCTTTCCCTCCTAGCCAGTCCCCTTCTCCTATTCAAAATTGTCCTTGGGCCCCACCCCAAGGATCGAGCAATCAGCCAAGGCGGCTCTGTTCTGCCTCAAACAGGCAGACTATTCCACCTCCAAAAAGCTAGAGCCGGTTCAGGAAGGATAGGTCTAACACAAACATCTCTATTATCAAAGCCCTTCTAAGAGAACCCATACATGCAGATCGAAGGATTTTATTTACTGGTGCTTAAACTAAAGAGAAATACTATACTCCTTACAAAATTCTATACAAAACTCATAACACTTCCCATAATCTCAAATAAAAGTGGATGCCGCTCTTCCAAACTTGATTTATCCATCAATGTACATAGGCTTTTTTCCCCCCAATAATGTAACATTGCTCTTACCTAAAATATTGCAACCAATAATCAAAGAAAATATTGTGTTCCATATGTGGGACATTTTTCTACCGCATGACAAAAAGAAAATGAATACATCACATGCTACACAACATTTAAAATCCGAACATAATTTAGACGTGACATTTAAAATGCACATATAAGTACATATGTTTGAAAATAAAGAAATCACTTCATTCGCAAATTGCAGTATCAAAAGACCTTAAAATCAATGTTATATAAAGTGTCATGTGATTCTACCAATTTATGATCCTAACCAATCAATTTTAGAAAACAAGCCCAACCATTTATTTACTTTCATCAAAATTAAATCCTCATATTTGAATTTTAAGGATTGCATAGATTTTTAAGTGTTAGAATTCAAAGTATAAATTGCTTTATGAATGTATTATATAAGTAGATTATGCAAGTATGAAGTATGCCAAAAATCATAAAAACAATAAGAGTTAATCCTAATTTTAAATAGTGACCCCCTTGGATAATTGTCATAACTCTTCATTTAGAGTTGCATTGTATCTAGAAATCTCTGCAGAGCCTATATATTCCCATAAGATAGTTTTGGAATGATAAGCCAAGCTATTTGAGTTCTCCTCCAAATAAGAGTATGATCATAAGTCTCATTATCTATATCTATATCTATACTACTATAAAAAAAGAGGTGTGTTCAATCAATGATTCTTACGGTCAACTTTAGAAAATAATCCCTACCATTTATTGACTTTCATCAAAATTAAATCATCATATTTAAGTTCTAAGCATCGGGCATAATTCCAAGTGTTAGAATGCAAAGTATAAATTTCTTCTATGAATTTATTATAAGTATAACATGCAAGTATGAAGTATGTAAAAAATCCAAAAAATACAAAGAATTAATCCCAATTTTATGCTAATCCCCAAACAGCCTCCCTATCTTTCCCACTTGATGAAGCTTGGTACTACTTTCAAAAAGTATCACCTTAACGCAATTGAAATAAATACAAAGTAAAGTGCTCAAGGATATGCAATACTAAAAAGAAAGTCACGAAAAACAAAAAGATATTAAGACTATAAAATAGTTTTAAACATGAACAAAAAGATCAGAAGAACCCATAAAGTTGCACAAAATGTTAAAGCAATAACAAAGTTAGCATTTAATCTACCCGCCAAATAAAATAAAATCAAACTGATATGAAGATCATGTTAATAATTTATGCTAGATAGCACAAAACAAATTGAGAGGTTTATAGAAAATCATACCTCATCAATGTTCACAGGTGGTGCTAATTCCGTAGCACTAGGTGTCCAAATCTTAATGTCACTCTCAATTCCACTACTTGCAAACATTGGAGCACAAGGGTGAGGTTCGATACAATTAACTATATCTTTGTCACCTTCCATCACTCGCAAGAGTTCTCCACCTCGTTTCCTCCAAATAAAGATGCGACCACAATCTGACCCACTGATAACATATTCACAGTGGGGACCAAAAAAGCTCACACCTTTCACTGTATCACAGTTCCGGTGTCCCTTATAAGCCTGTGGCCCAGGCATTTCTTTGGAATTTGAAGTGGATGATGATGAAGCTGAACTTAGCCCACCTCCACTATCCCTATTCACAGCATATTCCCTGGCTTGGTTGATTGAATTGAACCCAAGTCCATCATACTTTGAGAAGAGATAGATTAGCTCATTATTATATGATGCTAGCAGCTCACTCTGGTCTGAGAAAGCCAAACCTGTTATCCCAACACGCAAGTCACCAATCAGATGCGGAGGACAGAAGCAGTCGGTGGATTCACAGTTACTTGAGCCATCCCATTTGTTCTTTCGAATGTCATATATTCTAGCAAATTCATCAGATCCTGCAATCGCAAAAAGGTTGGGATTCCGTGGATCTATTGCAATGGCATTTAGACTAACAGTGCGCATGTAATCAGATTTGTCATGAAAAGATTTGCAAATGAAGAGCTTTGTTGCAGATTTTGTTCTCAAATCGAACTGCCAAAAATGAGATTGAATCAGTATCAAATAGCAAAGACAGATAAACTGCAAATGGCATTTTTTCTTTCTTTCTTTTTGAATTACTCACATGCTGAACAAGACCATCTTCACCGCAGCTATAAAAAATATGTGAGCTTCCAGGCTCAATGGCCAGCCTATGAGCCCTACCTTCATGCTGCCCTAACAATGTAGTGGCAACCTTTCCACCATCTAGGATCTGGGTATGCCTCACCTGGAGGAATAATAAAATGGGTGTTTCTCATGTATTCGAACTGCAGATCATCAGGAAAATTAACACCTTGACAGTGCATTTGGATTATTTGTGTGAAAAAAGGAGAACTATATACCTCCCCATCTGCGGCACATGAGACGATGATCCGATCATCAGTGTAGGGCATAAATTTTGCCTGAAAAACATTGTTACCATGGCCTGAGTGAAATGATAATTTAACAGTCCCAGAATCCCAATGCCACACCATTATCATTCTGTCATCAGAACCTGAGACAAGAAGGTCACCAGAAGTGTTGAAACTTATTGTGTTCACACAGCCCCGGTGTTTATCTAGCTTCTTACAAATAGTAAGCCTGCGGACAAGACCCTGTAGGAATAAAAGATAGGACAAGCTCGTAGCAATGAATACACAAGAACTTCAGATAGCTCAAAGAATAATTAACAGTTAGGTAGCATCCAATTACAAGTGGCTACTCGCTAGCCAGCTAAAATATGTATAATTTAGTAGCAAACGTGGCAATTGTTTGTGGATTTGAAAAAAAAAAGATAAAATAACCTCTAAGCTGAAATTACAACCGAATAAAGCCCAATTTGAAAAGCTAAATCACAGATGCTAGAATGTTTCTTACTGAAAAAATAAACAGAAACATGCAAATTTCCGTTGCTAAATATTTATGATTTTTTATGATTTTAAGAAATCTCTCGAAAGTTGAAAAAAAAAATACAAGTACCTCCTTACTATACTTTTCTAAAAATCTAAAAATCATGAAATTGAAAACAGTAAAGAGCCCAAAAATTTATATAGATCGGAAAATTAAATTTCTTCTTACTACATAAACCAGTTTATGTATTAAACATCAATTTCAGAGTTGTACCAGAGTTGACAGCATCCAAATACATGACATGCAGATCTACCAAATGAAACTTCTATTGCACTCTTAAAGCAAGCATATGGTCAAAAACATTGAAGAGATAAACAGACAATGTGAAATTGTGGATTTGATGTTGGACGTGTCCTTGGTCATGTTGCTTCCAGCAGATCCGGCTATTGCGGATTGCGGAGGGATGGGAAGATCAATGTTGGTTCTTGGATGAGGGGGAGATTGGAGAAAGAGTGTGGTTCCGAGTTCTAATTGTCATAGACAAAATGGTGTTGATGCCGGTAAGTGCAGAAGGCATGAAAGAACAAGATTTAACACTAGTTACGCATGATCGTTTAAGCTTCACGGCATGGCTACTCCAATTATCAAGCAAATGATCTCATGAAAGCACCAATGATGAGAACATGATCTCATTTTGAATATTTAGAGCTTTCACTACACACAAAAAAAAAAGAATAAATAGAGTAAACCGAAGAAAATGGAAATATTCATTCTTTCATTCATTTTATCTCCATCTTCTTCCCTAATGGGTCATATTTATAAAATGCAAAATTCCTATATTAACGCAACTCTATTAGCCCGTTTCTAACTAACTAAACAATTACAACCTGTTGTTGAGGGTTTATATCAGCAACATAGCATCCCTCTTAACAAACCAAACTAGCTGCAAAAATATCCAAATAAAATTGTTTCTAAAAAATATATTAGAAGTAACAACTTGGATCAAAAACATTATTTCATCACTATAAACTAGGATATAGATTAACAAAGATGAAGCTAATTTAAGCACAATTGACAAGGACTAGCTTAAGTGGAGCGATGCTTTGCATCATGAGCCAAGCTTTCATGACAATAAAAATCTCACTGGAAAATATTTCAAAGCCTAAAATCCTTGAATTCTTCACCAAAAAAGTAAGGCATGCCAATAATTTGCAGAATAACTCTTACGAAATTAATTAAAAGTACTTAACATCTACTAAGATGAGCCACTTCATTTTAATTGTTTACAATATAGAGTGAGGTACTTGTAAACCCCAAATACAATCTCAGAATCCATAGAAATCCATTGTAATGCATACACTAATAAAAAAAAGAAGCAATAAGAACAATAATGATCATGGTATATGCAATGTCGCAAGAATTTACCCAGGTAATGCAATGGGTAAACCTCTGTAAACTTCAGCAATAATGATCATGGTGATACGTGTAGCATGAGAATTTTGCATGAGCAGCAATGGAGACTTATTTGAGAATGTTCTACCTGGGAAAATTTTGAAGAGAAACCCTAGCCTTCACCTACCTCTCCAAGAGTCTCTACTCCCTTTCCTCCGGCTCTATCAGAGGATCTCCTTTTCTCCTAATGAAATTACCTCCACCGCCGTCTTCAGCATTGGAAAGCCCCTTCAATAAACATCTTCCAGCATCGCAATCCTTATGTCTAGTACGCTATCTCACCAGGATTTTCCACCACTCAATCAACAATTCACAAATGTTCCTCTTGGAACTATGGAACTAGTAACCCTTCAACCTCTAACACCCCACCAACAAAACCTAACATTTTCGTAAACCTAAACTAGATAAACCTTCTATCCAAGAAATCCCTACAACAAATAAGAATTAAAAAAAATAAAAAGAAATCCCTACAACAAAAGATTTTCCAGGAAGTTTCACTCCTTCCCAAGTTAAATTCATTCATTTTTTGAACCAAGAAGTTGAAGACGGTTCGTAGAAGTGGGAACTCTCCTTGGTCGGCTATTCAATCGATAAACATCTCTTCTATGAAGCTCTTCTTACAACCATTAAAAGGACATGGAGGCTTAAAGGTCCTCTCAATCTTTCATTTTTGAATGATGGATTTTTCCTTTTTCCTGTTTTACTCATCGGACGACTATGAAATGGCCCGGTTGAGTGGCCCTTGGTTCTTTTTTGAGAAGCCATTCTTTCTAAAAAAAATGATCTTCGAATTTTAAGCCTAAAAGAGAGGATTTAACTTCAATTTTTCTTTGGATAATTATGGATTTGGCTTTTAGCTGTCGGAACCCTTTGAGGATATCTAAAATAACTAGTGCTATTGTGATGCGAGCAAAAATTTGCAAAAGGACCCAAATTTTTGCAAGCAAAAAATAGACCTTCCTAGGTAATAGAAAATACACAAAATACCCAAAAGACACAAAATACGACAATTGAACAAAAAAAAACTTCAATTTATAATATAAAAGACTTACAAACTTTTGACGCTTACAAACGATAAAATAAAGACACAACGACTTTCTTAAAACTGCTTGCCAAATGTTGAGAAGAAGGATACAAGTGAGGTGGATACTTGCGGGAAGAAGAATGAGATTAGAAGCCAAGACGAAGTATAGCTTGCAAGCTATAGAGAGGAGAAGAGGAAGAGGTGGCATAGCTCGCAAGCTATCCAAGAAAAGAAGAAAAACCTCTCAGGTTTTTATCCAAAAATTTCATTTTTATCCATCCTCTTTTGACCCCCCTTGCCTACATCAAATTCTCCTCCGATTGAAAATGTTCATCTCCCGATGAGGTTGCTTTAGATTTCATCTAAGGAGGCAACGAAGGAGCCTCAAGCTCTTGAATTTGGGCTTCATACTTCTTCAAAATCTTCTCACGTTCTTGCTTGAGTTGGTCTTGTAACAGTTTCTTTTTCTTCTCGAATTTCTCTGAACACGTATGCAATTTCATTTGTAATTTGTATAGTTCATTCCGCAAATGATCTATTGAACTTCCTTCCGTTGGAATCCACCTGTCCTTTGGGACAGGGACTTCAAGATCTTCTCGATTGCATTCTTCCACAACGGGCTCAATTTTTTTGTGATTTTCCATTTTTTAAACACTTGAAAAAAGACACGAAACAACCTAGGAAGACACACACCTAGGCTCTGATACCAATTTTTTGCTCACAAAAATTTGGGAGATGGGGTGGATACTTGCGGGAAGAAGAATGAGGTTAAAAGACTAGACGAAGTAGAGGAGTAACTCGCAAGTTATCCCAAGATAGAGAGGAAGAAGTGGAACAAGCTCTCAAGCTTTTCCAACAAAAACCATAAGTTTTTCCATTCCAAAAATTGCATTTTTTCCAACCTTTTCAAGCCTCAAATCATCTCTAATTTATAGGCAAAAGGAAGAAGCTAAACAGTCATAGCACCTTCAACCAAATCCAATCAGATTTAGGAAAATGAAAGGCCAAAAGACACCATAACATCACATAAAAATGCATAGCAAAACAAGAAGAAACAGCTACGGGAAACCCAGCCAAAAGCCACGGGAAGCCCAGCCAACAAGGGACCCGAAGAGCCAACACAAGAAACAGGGCAGAACTTCACGGGAAAACAGCCAGGAAACAAAACCGGTAAACAAAGAAGACCCAACGGGCTGCAAGGAATAGAACCGACAAACAGGGAATCCAAACAGGCAGCCAGTCAACAGAGAGCAAACGGCACAATAAAGGAAATGAAATGCACTTAGGAAATAGCAACAGCTAGGAGAAAATCGAGAACAACAAGCAGCCCAAGGCCTTAATTCCATGGAAGAAATCAAAGAGACACAAGAAGGGGAAGAGACATGAGTGGGGAAACCAAAGAGTCTTTAGAGAGGGGAGTAAAGGAGGGGGAATGAATCTAATTAATTGTATTAATGAGCTGATAAAGTAGTAGAAGAGCATTAATGAGCTAAAAACTAAGTAGAACCCAATTTATTTAGCTCAAAACCAAGCAGCCAAAGCCTAATCCGAGAGCAGCCATGGCCCACACCAAGAGGCAGAAAACAGTCCAAAGCTTGCCTACATCAATTCTCCTCCTGTTGAAAGAATTCATCTCCCGATGATTTGTCTTTAGATTTATTCTGAGGAGGCAACGAAGGTGTCTCAAGCTCTTGAATTTTTGCAGCATACCTTTTCAAGACCTCATCTCGCTCTCGCTTGAATTGTTCTTGTAACAGTTTCTTTTTCTTCTCGAATTTCTCTGAACACATATGCACTTTCATTTGTAATTTGTATAGTTCATTCTGCAGAGGATCTGTTGAACTTCCTTCCGTCGGAATCCACCTGTCCATTGGGACAGGGACTTCAAGATCTTCTGGATTGCATTCTTCCACAACGGACTCAATGTTTTTGTGATCTTCCATTTTTTAAACACTTAAAAAAAGACACGAAATAACCTAGGAAGACACACACCTAGGCTCTGATACCAATTTGATGCAAGCAAAAATTTGGGAAAGGACCCAAATTTTTGCGAGCAAAAAACAAACCTTCCTAGGTAATAGAAAATACACGAAATACCCAAAAGACACAAAATACGACAATTTAACAAAAAAACAACAACTTCACTTTATAATATAAAAGACTTACAAACTTTTGACGCTTATAAACGACAAAATAAAGATACAACGACTTTCCTAAAACTGCTTGCCAAATGTTGAGAAGAAGGATACAAGTGAGGTGGATATTTGCGGGAAGAAGAATGAGATTAGAAGCCAAGACGAAGTATAGCTCGCAAGTTATAGAGAGGAGAAGAGGAAGAGGTGGCATAGCTCGCAAGCTATCCAAGAAAAGAAGAAAAACCTCTCAGGTTTTTATCCAAAAATTTCATTTTTATCCATCCTCTTTTGACCCCCCCCCCCCCCCCCCCTACCTACATCATATTGGCTATTCGCTGACCACTAAAAAACTAGAAAAAAAGCAAAGCAAGCCTTCCATATGGGATAACCATTTATCAGGAGGCAAGGAGCAAATTCTGAGAATACTTTATGAATAAAACCCCACTCTTTGTTTGGGTTATGAATCTTTTGTTTATCCTCCGAATCTATGCCCTTTTAAACCAACACAACAAGCCAAACCTCCTCCCTGATGTCGGAGTTGAAGTAGGAATCCAAGGGTTCCTACTCTCTAATGGGAGTAAATGATTTCAGGAGTTACAAACCCTTCACAGAACACTGCAGCAAACTCATCACCCCCAAAATCTAATCATGCTACAAACAATAAATCACCAACAACTAAAAATCATGTAGATCAATAACTTATCTTAATACTCCTTAAAAGGCCTACTGCCCATTACCACATCCCCTCAAATCATGTACTATGAGCCAAACAATATACTTATTCTCAACACAAATTTAGAAATCTCATCCCAAGCAACCTCGGGCATGCAAAAAATACATTCAAATCATTATCAACCCAACATTTCAGCCACCAACAAGGCCTAGAAATTTGTCACCCATCCCACAAAATCCCAATGACAAATCCAACCTCTGCCAGGCTACAATAGGCTTGATAGATTGCTTACTTGTAAGAACTTGATTCAATCTTTTAATATTTATCTATTTGATATTCTGGAGACCAATATAAGCAATTCTCAAATTTATGACATGTGGTTTTACAAATCTCAAATGTAGTATGAATATGAAGTAAAATAATTTGTCTCGCTCTCAACCAGACAAAATTTGACTCATATGAAAGCTACTAAAATACCCTTTATTCCCGTATATATTGATAACAAAAGTATGCATGGTCAAGTCCATTGTAGCAAAAGCACATCTTTCTTTATCTCTATGATTTATGCTTCAAATCACCCTAATGAAAGAAGCAATCTTTGGTCTACAGGTAAGGATATTAGAGAAAATACTAATCAATCTTGGGCTTTAATGAAGGATTTAAATTGTTGCAGGCATATAAGTGAAAAAAATGGAGGAAATCCTATTCCTAATAACACGTACTAGGAATTCAATAATATGATTTTTGAAGCTGAGGTTGAGGACTTGGCTTCGATGGGTCTTACCTATGCTTGGTTCAAAAACAAGACTAATAATCCTATTCACGTTAAGCTTGACAGGGTCCTCGTGAATGATGCTTGGCTTGACTTATAACCTCTCACTATCTACATAGTTGAAAATTCTAGGTGCTCAAACAACTCACCCTTGATTGTTCAAACCTCCCACAAATGTAAGAAAAAGCACAAGATCCTCTACAAAAGCTATTGATCCAAACTATCACAATTCTGGGAGGATCTTAAATTTGCATTCATCATTAAAATTAGTGGAGATCCAATAACTTTCATTATTCCAAGCTTCATAAGCTCAAAGCCATCATTAAGACTAGAAATTCCTCTTCATCATCCCATATCACTTCTAACATTAGAGCTCTTGGAAATCAACAAGCTACTAGCTTTCAAATGCTCAATAATGACCTTCTTAACCAGTTTTTAATTGTTGATGCTAATTACTTGGGTGATCTCTCTCAAAATCCTATTCTAATTGGTCTTCTTGGATAATTTAAATAGATAAAACAAAGTGATTAGCTATTGATGAGGAGGATCTCAAATTTCTTTATAGTAAAAACCATAGGTGCATAAGACAAATTACTACTTATTGAGTTCTTTTTCTAATAATTGATATTACAGAAGCCTCAATTATTCATTCAGAAAGCTATTCAACAATATAAATACACATTCAATGGGTCTCACCTATGCTTGGTTCAAAAATAAGATAAATAATCCTATTCACATTAAGCTTGACAAGGTCCTCGTGAATAATGCTTGGCTCGGCGTATATCCTCTCTATCTACAAAGTGGAAAATTCTAGGTGCTCAAACCTCCCACAAATGTAAGAAAAAGCACAAGATCCTCTACAAAAACTATTGATCCAAACTACTACAATTCTGGGAGGATCTTAAATTTGCATTCAACATTAAAATTAGTGGAGATCCAATAACTTTCTTTATTCCAAGTTTCATAAGCTCAAAGCCATCAATAAGATTAGAAATTCGTCTTCATCACCCCATATCACTTCTAATATTAGAACTCTTGGAAATAAACAAGCTACTAGCTTCCAAATGCTCAATAATGACCCTCTCAGCCAGTTTTTAATTGTTAATGCTAATTACTTGGGTGAGCTCACTCAAACTCCTATTCTAATTGGTCTTCTTGGATAATTCAAATAGATAAAACAAAGTGATTAGCTACTGACGAGGAGGATCTCAAATTTCTTTATAGTAAAATAAAATGCAGTAAAAAGTAAAAACCATAGGTGCATAAGAGAAATTACTACTTATTGAGTTCTTTTTCTAATAATTGATATTACAGAAGCCTCAATTATTCATTCAGGAAGCTATTCAACATTATAAATACACAAAATATTTATGCCTAAATTTTCCTCTAATCAACCTATTATTTATTATTTAATGGTATTTAATATTAATAAACATATATTTTTTATTGTGCGCTATATTTAAAAAGACATGCGCCGCATCATATACTAGGCACCATGACTCCACAGGGATCTTTGCGCCATGGTGCACCATTTGCCACTGACAAGTATGGCGCTAGACAGCCTCTAGGAAATCAAGGGTGCCTAAAGCCAAGATCTATCATATTTATGAGGAAATGGGTAACTTTTGACCTTTACGAGTCAAGTACTTGGATTTTTCATAATATGTTCTTTAGTTATCTTCATGCTTTGATGATATATTTTGAGCATAGCAAACTTTTTGTGCAGCTCTAGTGCTTTATTGTAATCCTTTTTTAGTTTTATTTTGAGCTTGTGCCTACTGTTTGTAAGCATTATATATTTATATTTAATGGATTGGGATTTGCCCTCCATTTTCCTCCAAAAAATTGCAAAAAGTAATTATTACAATATAATGATGTCATTGCAAGCAATAAATAAAATATGCACAAGAATGACCGCCAGCAAACACTCTGAAATTAGTGTGATGTCAATGGGTTGGTGATCTGGATGGCAGAACTAGCATAAAAAAGAATAAAATTTCTAAAATTATGATGTTGCCAAATTTTTCCCGTCTGGACATGTGTTTTATGCATACTGGAGTCTGGATACTTGGATAGTTAAGTGTGGATTGGGGCCTGTGGGTGGTGTCACAATCGTTGTTCAATAAAAAAAATCAAATATGTAAGTGCCCATGTGCTGGCATTCAGACACCAACATTCACAAATACAGGCAAGACAGAAGCTAGGATTCAGAATTCAGCGCATGAAAAGGCGGGTGGTCTTACTCAAGGTACAGCAGGAAGAGATTGCTTTCGAAGCTGTGCTTGCACAAATTAATCATCAGTCAATAGATATAAAATTCAATTTGAAAGGTCCACTACTTTTGAAATCAATCCTTAATATGTGCTTAATGGGAAGAACAAAAATAGGTGCTGGTGACATAAATTACACTATGTAATGCGGTTGGGTAAAGTAATGGTTTCAAACTCTAGGGATCAATGATAAATGTGTGGATTTGTGGACCGCCAGAGCCAATAAAGAAAACTTTTATTTCTGTTTTAATCAGAAGAAACATTTTTCGTAGTTTGCACCCGCTCCATAAGAAAAACAGCCAAAAATATCATATGAAACACCACGTCTACAATCATCTAAAGGCAAATCATGGCACGGCATGAGGTCAACAACTTCTAGCGGTGGAGAAATTGGATCACCGTGGCGATCATTAAACGGACGAAGATTAAAAAATCATACATCGCGGTTAATTGGAATCAGGGAATCTCGACCAGGCCTAAATTATAAATCCATCTTCATAACTGTGTATGAACTCTAATAAAATAACTTAAGTAGCATAAAAGTCCGGGATTCAAACCTCAGAAGCCCCAAAAACATTCGCGAAGCTTCTCGGAGTGAGATTCCCAACTTCCCGCTCCAACACATCGACGACGCCACCGCCGATGAATCTTCCTCTCTTCAAACCCCTCATTGCTTCACTCTACCTGTGCAACGACCAACAAATTTCCAAGCAGAAAACAGGAGATCCTACCACTAACCCCAACGGAGCCTCAAGCCGAAGCCTCGCATCTGGATGCTTTTATGGAGACAAACCATGAGGGCAGATCAATCGACGGCGACTGCTAGGACGTGGATGAAGGGCTAGAAAATAAGGAAGCTTCGAAGTCGCTGGAAACGATTCCAAGCTTCCACACCGATCATTATTTCCCTCGGCAGCGCAAAACGCCAATCCACAGAGTTGATATAGGTACGATATGATAAATAAGGAAAAAAATATGTGAGGATATTATTACTGAAAAGTTACTAAATTTATTGTTAGATTAATATAGCACTATTAAATCTATTTATATTTATACTATACTAAAAATTAGAGAATATTTTATTTAAAATTAATTTTTATTTTATATTTACAAATATAAATCTCAACTACTCAAAATTTACATTTTTTTCATTTTTTTTTCAAGCAAAACAACGTCTAAATGCTTTTACCATTAGATATGATACATTTTGAAAAAAATTCAATTCATCAGCATAAATCTCAAGATAATATTTAAATTAAAAAAAATTTGTAGTTAAATTCACATTTATTCTAACTTTGGTTTCAACAAATTTATAGTTAATCGATAAGAAAAGCACATCGATAACACAAGTGTTCCAATAAGAATCCAAATGAGCTCAAATCAAGCACGTAAAATATATTTGTAGCTTGATGGTATTAAATTTAGGACCAAATATTCTCCAAATATGGCATACTTATAGTCAAATCAATCGAGTTAACCAGACTAAAGATTATTTCATTCTAAAATCAACAAGGGACTTAAATACTAATAAATGACCTGAATTCAAGAGAATCAATATGGTCTATTTGATCTAATATCTTGGATATTAGACAAATTTACCAAAATGTCATTCTTAAAGGGGCTATAAATAAGATCTCATTTTCAACAAGAAGATAGGTTTGAGATATGAGAGAGCTATGAAACTATATTGCATTTGCACGTGATCACTGCCTTGACCACCATTAGGGATCACCATAATTGTTGCTAGACTTTCATCATCCGGCTCTTGTTGCTTGACTATTAGCCTCTAACCCTATTGTCGGCTTTAACTATATAAGGAGCACTATTGTAGTAATCAGTTACTTATAATGATCGTAAATGATCTAGTTTAAATTATGTATTTTCTTAATTCGGTGAATGTTTCAGCATTATTTTTTGTTTGAAATTGATCCCAAGGGTTAAGTGGGTTTGGATTGGAATAAAAAGTATGTGCGTAGAAAAAAAAAAAATAAAACCCTTTTGAGTGTTGCGAGCTACATTATGGGCACAACATCGTTAGCACTTTATTTTCTGGTAGAATAAAGATGTTTCTGGGAGTGTTTGACACTATATTTTTTATATTATGAACAGAGTTTAGGATATTTTGTAAGCGTTACGGCACTGGGCCTTCAAGCACCACAACACTATGTTTTGAATTTTTATATAAATATCAAATTTCTCTAGAACAAAAATATCTAAAATTAGTTTCACTATCGAATCAAATAGCTTGAGAGAGAGAAAGATAGAGGGAAAGGAGGAGGATTTTAGAGAAAAAAAAGTCTATTTTGAAGGTATTCATGTTGTTTTCAATGGTCAGGCTACTTGGGAAAGCTGTTTGGATTGAGGTATGTTAGATTTATCCTATCTTTATTTTTAATAATATGAGTTTATATAAAGTTTTGGCTTTTTACTTGAATTGACGTCACAAAATTGAGATAACTTGATATCTAGGAATTAATCACTGTGTAACTTCTAGTATGTTTTTGTTATCATTATTATGCACATTTTAACATATTTCTTTTTAATTTTTATTAAGTATTTATGATTATACAAAGTTTTGAGTACTTTGATGTGTGTACAAATTCTAATAAAAGTTACCATAGAAGGATAAAAGCTTTAAAATATTGATGTGAATATTATATGTGAATAGCTTTATGATTGATAATTATTAAAGTGTGTGTATAAATTTACCTTGAAGTTCTGACTGCTTTGTCATAAATATGAATGTTTGATTATGTTTACATAATTTGAATGTACTTATATTTTTGTGATTACATGATTGAATTGTGTGAAAGAATAAAATGTTGATAAGGGCTTGATATTAAACGAATGAGTGGCGGTATGCGCTGGAAGTCATAATGGACAAATAATATGTGTCATGCACTGTGTTATAAAGGCCTGATACTGATGTGCTATACACATAGAGTCATAAATTTGCTTTTTGTATCAGTGAAATGTTTGGGAGATATAAAGGCCTGAGGGGAGACTGGTGTGATGTGATTGAAGATTGATGAAAAGTGTTCATTTTTATTATCTTTAAATGTGAGTTATTTTTGTTGTCTGATTGACTAGTTATGTTGATACTGAATTGAGAATAGCTAAGCATTTGATATATGAGACATTATAGTAACATTATTTTGAACCTATTTTTGAGAATTTTTGTATGGATAGTATGTTTTAATTTTTATATCATGATATAATAATATATTTATTTATTATTAAGAATTTGGGTAGGTTTTGTCTAGCTTATTGAGTTATGGTTTGGTCATAATTAAATGCTCTTTCCGCATGTGTTAATTTCAGGGTAGGGAAAAAATAAAGGGGCATATTGAATAGAAAGAGGTTGAAGATTTCTAGTGTTAAGTATTTTTTTTTACAATTAGATTTTTTTTATAATCACGTTGTATTTTGATGATTATATAATCATTTTGCATCATGATTATTGTATATGTAGATATTTTGACCGTATAGCTTTTTGGAGATGATTGAAAATACTTATGAGTTATTTTCTGCATTTAAATTGACATTTAGTGGCTTTATATTTTTGTTCATAAATGAAATGAAAAGAAATTCTTTTCAAATAGATATTGGAAATCATCTTGTCGTGATTCGATACATCGTAATTATTTAATATAAGGGTTATGTCGGGTTGGGTCATGATAAATTGTATGCATGCATACACTCAATTTCTATAATATTTACAACATAAATAAATAATAAGTAATCTTAACTATAAATAATCACATATTCTTTAATTATGAGAAGTGGAGGATTATTGTATCTCCTAATATATAATGTATTATTAAGATTGGGCTAGACCATATGGTTTTACCCTATAACACCTTCAAGATCAGTATACAGTTCAACATATTCTGACTCAATCTAAAAAAGGCTATCCACTGAATTTATGCATTTAGAACTATTATGCATGTGTCTGAGTATATTTTGTGTGCATGTGTTTCAAAGTCGATCCCATAGGTCTATTTGCATGTTCCATAATTTAGAATTTTTTCTCTAGAGGAGCCATGACATTAGGGTAAGCGGTGCTTCGACACTAAGTTCTCTAGAATTTTGAAAAAAAAAAATTCAATGTAGCGGTGCTAGGAGTGGTAGTGCAGTTCTGTGGGCTCCTTGAGGGAGTGTCGTGGCTAGCGTTGTTGGGAATCGTGATGCTGACAAAAATTTAATAATAAAATTTCTAAATATTTAGGTATTTTTATGTAAAGTTTGTCAAGTTGTAGAGATCATAGTTCTAAATATTTGTCAAGTTGTAGAGAGCTAGCGTAGTTCTAAATATTTAGGTATTTTTATGTAAAATTTTGTCAAGTATTTTTGAAACATTGATTTTCTAAAACTGTAAAAAAAATATTCAGGCACTGAAAAAATAGTAATGTAGAACAATTAACCTCTGAAATGTAGTTTTTCATTATCTTTAATAATTGGTAGAACTTTGAGTTAGTAAATTTTTGCTACATTATATTAGATTTGATTGCTAAAATATTGTCCGTAAGGTATATCTATTAAATTATGTAAATAGTTTAATTTATGTTTACCTATACATTTGTGCATCTCTGAATGATATTCTATTGTATATGAGAAGTTCCAGGGAGTTCTATTATATATCGGTAGAGTTATGTTACAAAAATTTTGAATGTGGTGAGAACACTAGTAGTCCTGAGGGTCAGAAGTTCTGAAAGGAGTGTATAATGATCTAACGTTTTCAACGGGAGATATAAGGGATATAAGGGATGGAGTTCTGTTACTTTCTATTATGCACAATGCATTTATTCATAGTATGTTTAGTTCATTGGGCTCTAAAATTTTTAACTCATTTAGTTATCTACAAAAACTTATATTATTCAAACATAATTTTGAAGCACATTCATTATTAGGATTGGAACAACTATTTTACTCTAAGTCATTGGTTTTATAATTATTAAGAATTAATATGAGGGAAAATATAATATGATGATCTATGTTAGCACAATTTGTGTTTCTGCATTTAATTGTTTGGCCAGGATAGGGGTAAAAGGTCGGTTGAGTAAATAAGATTGATTTTCTAAGTATGGTTGGTATATAGGTACCATTTTTTTTTTTAAGATTTTTTTTTTAATAGTTCTTACATTTACGTATTTCTTGTCTTATGTCTGTTTGTTTTTAAAAATTGTTATAGCAAAAAATATGTATTGTATAATCTCATAGATAAATATAATAGATAAATATAAAGGAAGAAATTTCTTTTTTGGATTACAAATTTATGTAAAGTGCGAGAAGTATAAGCTCATGTGCATGGGTGGAGGGAGGGGGAGCACGTACCCCCCCCCTCCTCCCAAAAAAAAATGCATTATGGTAGAATCCCTTATGAGATTTCATTTTATTTATTACATATTTTTTTGCATTTCAAGTCTTCAATCCAACTTCTAACCGGACCATGCAATGCTAAAAAGAAAAAAATTACCCATTATGGTAAAACCCTTTGTCAGCTTTCTTTTTATTTATTACAAGCTTTTTCCATTTCAAGTCTTCAATCCACCTTCTACCCGGACCATGCAATGCTTCAGCTGTAGAGAGAGAAGACTAATGGGGTAATATTGAAAGAGAGAGGGAGGAATGACTTTCCTGTGGACGGATTGACAAAAAAAAAAATTCAATGTAGCGGTGCTAGGAGTGGTAGTGCAGTTCTATGGGCTCCTTGAGGGAGTGTCGTGGCTAGCATTGTTGGGAACCGTGATGCTGACAAAATTTTAATAATAAAATTTCTAAATATTTAGGTATTTTTATGTAAAGTTTGTCAAGTTGTAGAGAGCATAGTTCTAATTATTTGTCAAGTTGTAGAGAACGTAGTTCTAAATATTTAGGTACTTTTATGTAAAATTTCTATCAAGTATTTTTGAAACATTGATTTTCTAAAACACAGT